GAAAAGGGGGAGTTACCCTGATATTCCAAAAGAATGTTATCCTGACGGCAAAAGACAATAGACAGGCTTAGATAAGGATTTCCTCTTCTTAAGGAAGATTCTTGACTAGGACCTGACTACCTGCTATAAACTGCTTTTGAAAAGATTTTCATTTCAGACCATCCTTTCTGGTTACTTTAGGTCTCTGACTTTGAAAGACTGATATGCAGGCAGGCCTTCAAGGAGCTTGTTGTTAGCATGTGTCCCCTTTTCATGCACACATTCCGTTTGGGACATAAATCAACCCAAAGGAAGTACTGAGGAGCCAACTTTTTGTAGGATAATGAGGTGCCCTGGTACTGGGAAGGCTCAGTCTTAGTTTTTCTTCATAAATAATGGACCATTGGGGTTGGAGAAAGACTGTAACCTTGGGTGGCAATCACGTTTTACGGGTCTCTATTAAGTATAACAAGCAATTTTTTAAAAAATATATTTTTGATTTCAGAGAGAGGGAGTGAGAGCACCATGATTGATGACCGAGAATCCTAGGTCAGCTGTCTCCTGCATGACCCTCCCTGGGGATGGAGCCCGCAACCCTGGCATGTGCACCGACCTGGAATGAAACTCTGACCTCCCAGTTCCGAGTTCTATGCTCAATAACTGAGCCACACTTGCCTGGCACGATAGATTAGTTTTAATTTATAAGTTATTATGATTCAGGTTTTATTTACTGTACATTGAGTTTAGTGTATTTTCTTATACTTGTAGTTTAAAGGCATATAATACACCTTCAGTAATATTAATAGCTGCAATATATATATATATATATAAATATCGATTTGAGAGAAGCCTCTTATTATTAATGACTATTACTAATATTAGGAGTAACATTCATTTGACAGGCTGCACCAGTGTCTTAGAATGCCTGTCTATTTATGATTGGGCTGTTAATTTTTGAAAAGTCTGATTTCTATTGTAGATGAAGGGAAGTGTCAGAGACAGACACAGATGTCCATTTATGATTAGGCACCTGATAACATAAGGTACCTTCTAACACTGTGGGAGAGAAACTTTAATATATTTTTCAACAGATAAATATATTCTGGTAATAAGTTGTGATCTTTGAAGTCTTTGTATTCTGGGAGTACATTGTCAAATGAATGTTATTTAGTAGTCCCTATAATCTCATCAATGGGCCATTGATAATAATGCAGAATGTCTCCTACTTTTCCTTCCAAAACAAATTTCTGGGTAATGAAAATCTGTTTACGTGCTGACTTCACTAAAAGGCAGCATTTCCACATGGGTCAGCTAACACTGAGCACAGTTATCATCATACCTATATTAAATGTACACAGTCCACGATTAGAGCTTTTACTAGAGCAAAATTCTCTGCAGAGTAGTTTCTTGGGGCCCAAAGGTAGAGATGAAGTAACTTTTTTTTCCAACCCTTTACTTTCATGAGGTGTCTTTTGATCTGAAATGGGTTTCATTTAGGCAGCATAAGTATGGGTATAGATCTCATATCCATTCAGTTACCCTGTTTTCTGGTTGAAGTTAACCCACTTATATTGTGATTATTGATAGGTGTGTAGTTATTAGCATTTTAAAATTAATTAATACAGTCCTAGCTGGGTACTTTAGCTTCCCATTGACATCAATGGATAGATTTGCCAGAAAAAAAAAGTCAACACAGAAAAAGTGGTCTTAAATGACTCATTGGACAAGATGGATTGGATAACAGAGATTATCAACTGAGTGTCATACAAGCAAACTGGTGTGCTGCAACATTTTTTAGAACAAGCAACACCTGGCTACTTAGTCAATACCACAGACTACATTACCCATAGATTGCCGAATTAAAATAAGTGACGACAGACAGCACAGTAATAGCTGTGTGGTGAGCATAATTCAAAGTCAGACATTTTTTTGACAGATTGGAAAAATACATATTTTGGTGGACCTCTGAATTTCAGTAATTCTTCCATTTGTGCCGTGAGATAAAACATGTTGAAATCTCTGACTTAAGAGCTTTGCAACCCAAAGCAGAATATGCATTCTGGACAAAATGAAGACAGAAGACTGTTTAAACCTAGAAACAATGTCTGCTTCTCTATTTTCTGAATGACCATGTGAAAAACAAATCTTATGTATATTTTGCACCAATACACTGCCTCAATTTTCCTCACTACAGTACCAGAAAATGGAACTATTGTCTAGGTGACATCAAATTCCTATGAATGATCCGGATCTAATAGTTTGTCCCGAACAGAACAAAACCATAAAGCCCCTCATCCAGAGAGAGACCCAGTCACAAAATAACAGGAGATTCTTTTTTTTTTTTTTTAAATATATTTTTTTATTGATTTTTTTACAGAGAGGAAGGGAGAGAGATAGAGAGCCAGAAATATCGATGGGAGAGAAACATCGATCAGCCGCCTCCTGCACATCTCCTACTGGGGATGTGCCCGCAACCCAGGTACATGCCCTTGACCGGAATCGAACCTGGGACCCTTCAGTCCGCAGGCCGACGCTCTATCCACTGAGCCAAACCGGTTCCGGCGAGGAGATTCTTTTTTTTTTTTTTAAATATATTTTATTGATTTTTCACAGAGAGGAAGGGAGAGAGACAGAGAGCTAGAAATATCGATGAGAGAGAAACATCGATCAGCTGCCTCCTGCACATCCCCCACTGGGGATGTGCCCGCAACCCAGGTACATGCCCTTGACCGGAATCGAACCCGGGACCCTTCAGTCCGCAGGCCGACGCTCTATCCACTGAGCCAAACCGGTTTCGGCCCGGCGAGGAGATTCTTATATGTATGAATACACCATGGGAATGTCAGGAAGTAGAACAGAAGAGTATCCAATATCTAGTTTTTTTAATCATTGTGTGATCCTTTGGGATGGCCCATGTAAAAGAACTGATATTTACCAGCTTGTACAAATTTACAACAGTACACTGGAGAAGGAATAAATGTGGGGCTTTCATTTCAATTTCTGCTATCCTGCTGTGCCTGGAATTTACAGTCACAGCTTGGAAAACATTGCGGGGACAACTTATGCCTATGAACATAACTGTGGTCATGCTGTCAATATATATAACAACTTTGATGCAAAATAAAATTTTTCAACCACAAATCTGCCATGTTCTCTGGGATTCCTCTTGAAAGAATGACCAATATCCAGCTACATTTAAGTAATTGACAATAAAATCTGTCTAACACGGGCTGAACCCATCCCCAAAAATAAGTTAATGAGGTAACAATAAGAATTTTTTTTTCTTCCTTTATTGATTTCAGAGAGGAAGAGGGAGAGAAACATCAATGATGAGAGAATCATTGATTGGCGGCCTTCTGCACACCCCCCACTGGGGATCGAGCCCACAATCCAGGCATGTGTCCATGGCAGGAATTAAACCTGGGACCATACAGCCCACAGGCTGACGTTCTATTCACTGAGCCAAACCAGCTACATTACACTGAGAAATTCTTAAGGACACCAATGAAAATCAGAAGAAAAATCATTCCAGTTATAAAGTACACAGAAGCTAATTTATTATAATCCAAAAATTAATATTCATATTCAAAATCTAGAATCCAGCATGAAAACATAAATGGTGGTCCTCCTACTTCATGAATATAAAGCAAAATACTTCCCAATTCTGATGTCAGTTATTGCATTAGTAAAATTCTAAAAGTACAGAACAGAAGTTATAGGGGCCAGAAGGGCTGATGTGGGAGAGAAGAGGTTTAGATGACATTGTTATAGCACTGCAGAAAAGAGTATCAGATGAGTAGAAAAATGAGGGAAAAAACACATAACACAGAGAGGAATATGAAATAGAAAATGAAATGAATGAAGTTAATTTTCTGTGTTTACCCAGGAGTGCAGCTCGGAAACAGGTGTCCGCTCTCAAATGCAGAGTTCATGGCAATTCTGCATCCTGGGTATGAAACATCTCCTATCTTGTACTACAACATCACTGGTATAGGATTTGAGAGAGAAGAAGGGAGAGGGAGATAGATAGAAACAGCATTGATAACAAAGAATCATCAATCAGCTGCACTTGCACGAACCCTACAAGGTATCTAGCCCACAAACAGGGCATGAGCCTTGATTGGGAAATGAGAACTGACTTCCCAGTTCATGGGTCGACGCTCTACCAAGGAGAAACACAGTGTGGGCAATCCCACTGTTTATCAAAGTCACACAAAATACATTTATAGGTGTTCCCTCCAGTACGAGCTCTCTTGTGTTGAGCAAGACAATGGTAATTTAAAGTTGTGCCTCAGTCTTCACAGTTGTAACGATTTCCTTCACAATGAATTCTATGATGCTAAGTAAGACTCCATTGACTAGAAAAGGATTAACATCACTCCTCACATTTGCAAGGTTTTTCTCCAGTATAAACTCTCTGATATACAGGAAGGAATACACACAGACTAAAGGTTTCCTCACATTTTCTTTTCTTTTTTTAAAAATGTATTTTTATTGTTTTCAGAGGAGAGTGCATGCCACACACTGGAGAGCGAGTCTGCAATCAGGGCATGTGCCCTGACCAGGAATTGCCCCCTAACCTTGCAGTTCATAGGTCAAAGCTAAACAACCGAGGAATGCCAGCCAATGCTTTCTCACATTTTGTACAGTGTAAGGTTTCCACCAGTATAAAATCTCTGATGTTGAGTAAATTTTGAGCTGTGGGTAAAGGCTCCAGCTTATTTTCTACATTTGTAAGGTCAATCTCTGTTAGGAAGTGTCTCAAGTACAATAATACCTGAATGACTTTTCAAGGCTTTTTTACATTTTTCATATTCATAAGGCTTCTTTCCAGAGTGAATACTGTAATGTACAGTACGTTCTCACTACTAGCCAAGGACTTATAAAACTCCACACATCTCTAAGACTTCTCTCAACTATGAAATCTATGCGGTCAAGTACAGCAGGACCAGTAAATAAAAGCTTTGTCACACTTTCTACATTTATAAGGCTTCACTTCAGTATCATCTCTCTGCTGTGCAGTTTTTTCCCTCTTCAAAATAAATTTTGAAGAACTGCCAATGGATTTGCCACATTCTCTGCATTTATAAGACTTCTCTCCGGTGTGAACTCTGATAAGGTATGATGTTACATTGCAGGTTTTGCCACATTCTCTACATATATAAGGGTTCTCTCCATTGTGAAGTCTCTGATATGTAAGGTCTGATGCTCCACTCAAGATTTTGCCATTCTCTACAATATTCCTCTCCGGTATGAATTCTCTGATGAGAAGTAAGGTCTGAGGACTCTGTAAAGGCTTTGCCACATTCATTACACTTATAAAGTTTCTCTTCAGTATGAACTCTCTGATGAATACTAAGGGTTGAGGGCTGGCTAAAGACTTCACCACAGTCTCTATATTTATAAGGTTTTTCTCCAGTATGAACTCTCTGATGCGTAGTAAGGTGTGAGGACCATCTAAAAGCTTTGCCACATTCTACACATTTATGAGGCTTCTCTCCAGTATGAAGTCTCTGATGCCTAGTAAGGTATGAGTACAGTGTAAAGGCTTTGCCACATTCTCCACATATGTAAGGCTTCTCTTCCGTATGAACTCTTTGATGCCTAGTCAGATATAAGGACAGTGTAAAGGTTTTGCCACATTCTCTACATTTATAAGGCTTTTCTCCAGTATGAACTCTCTGATGATTAGAAAGATCTGAGGATCTTCTAAAGGCTTTGCCACATTCTCTACATTTATAAGGTTTTTCTCCAGTATGAACTCTCTGATGTGGAATAAGATCTGCGGACCATCTAAAGGCTTTGCCACATTCTCTACATTTATAAGGTTTCTCTCCGGTATGAACTCTCTGATGCCTAGTAAGGCCCGAGGAGCTGCCAAAGGCTTTGCCACATTCTCTACATTTATAAGGTTTCTCTCCTGTGTGAACTCTTTGATGACAAGTAAAGTGTGAGGACTGGCTAAAGACTTTGCCGCATTCAGTACATTTATAAGGCTTTTCTCCAGTGTCAACTTTCTGATAAGTAAGGTATGATGCTACACTGAAGGTTTTGCCACATTCTCTACATATATAAGGGTTCTCTCCACCGTGAAGTCTCTGATAAGTAAGTTCTGATGCTCCACTGAAGATTTTGCCACATTCCCTACATTTATAAGACTCCTCACCGGTGTGAATTTTCTGATGAGAAGTAAGGTGTGAGGACTGTGTAAAGGCTTTGCCACATTCATTACATTTATAAAGCTTCTCTCCAGTATGAAGTCTCTGATGAATACTAAGGGTTGAGGGCCGGCTAAAGACTTTGCCACATTCTCTACATTTATAAGGTTTTTCTCCAGTATGAACTCTTTGATGCGTAGTAAGGTCTGAGGACCATCTAAAGGCTTTGCCACATCCTCTACATTTATAAGGCTGCACTCCAGTATGAACTCTCTGATGCATAGTAAGGTGTGAGAACCATCTAAAGGCTTTGCCACATTCTCCACATTTATGGGGCTTCTCTCCAGTATGAAGTCTCTGATGCCTACTAAGGTATAAGGACAGTGTAAAGGCTTTGCCACATTCTCCACATATGTAAGGCTTCTCTCCAGTATGAACTCTCTGATGCTTAGTAAGGTATAAGGACAGTGAAAAGGCTTTGCCACATTCTCTACATTTATAAGGCTGTTCTCCAGTATGAACTCTCTGATGCTTAGTAAGATCTGAGGACCATCTAAAGGCTTTGCCACATTCTCTACATTTATAAGGCTTCTCTCCAGTATGAACTCTCTGATGCTTAGTAAGGTCTGAGGAGCTTCCATAGGCTTTGCCACAATCTCTACAGTCATAAGGTTTCTCTCCAGTGTGAATTCTCATATGAATACTAAGGGTTGAGCTCCGGGTAAAGGCTTTGTCACATTCTGAACATTTATAAGACTTTTCTCCTGTATGATTTCTATGATGTTGAGTATGTCTTGAGGACTGACTAAAGCCTTTTGCATTTTCCCCCAGTTTGTGAAAGTTTGCTATAGTATGAATTCTTCCCTTATGTACAATAAGAGAAGAATGACATTTGAAGGCTTTGCCACATGCTTTACATTTGTAAGACTTCCCTCCAATCTGAATTCTCTGATTTAGAGTACAACCTGAAGGCCAATTAGATGTTCTACCAGAATCTTTACATTTATAAGTTTTTTCTCCATTATGGATTTTTTCCATTTTATTTAGATTGAATATTTGACTGGAGATTCTACCACAAGGATTCCATTTCTCAGCCTCCTCCCCGATATGAATATTCTCTTGTTCAGTGTAATTTGAAAACTGCTGAAAAGACTGGACATATTTACTGCCTTTGTATGTCTTCTCCACAATAGGAATAACTTGATGTGTAGTGTGACTGGACATTTGGTCAATGACTTTTCCACTTTTATAATGGTCCTCTGGAAGCTCGCTTCTCCACTGATTATTAAAGTATGACTCTTGCTTAAAGTTTTTCCAATGTTCATACCACTGATAACTTTGGTCTCCATTATATGTACTCTGGAGATAATGGGAGACAGAAAGGCCTTTAGTGATAGTTATAAATTCATTAATCATGTACACTTGTTCCATAAGAACCATTTTATAATACTCATTAAAACAAGAGGGTTGTATAGAAAATGCTTTCCTCATTTATTAAAATTATACACAAAAAATACAAAACATTAATTTTCAGAGGAAGAATAAATCCTTGTTTAAAAGACTGCCAAACTGCCTAGAAAGCATGGCTCATTGGTTGAGCTTTGATGTATGAATAAGATGGTTGTGGTTCCATTCGGGGTCAGGCACAAGCCCTGGGTTTGGATTCGGTCCCCAGTGTGAGGAAAGCAGGAGGCAGCCAAGAAATAATTGACTCTCATTATTGATGTTTGCCTTTCTCACTTTCTCTACATTCCTATCTAAAATCAATTAAAATATATTTTTTAATAAAAATAAAATAAGGGGGGGTAAGAAATCAATCAAAGGACTTATATGCATGCATATAAGCATAACCAAGGAACACAAGACACTGGGGGGGCGGGGTAAGGGCATGTGCGGGGGGGGGGGGGGGGGGCCTGTTAAGGGAGCCCGGGGAAGGTCAATGGGGGAAAAAAAGAGACCTATGTACTACTATTTGTAAAACTTTAAACAAGAAAATAAAATTTAGGGAGGGAGGAGGAGGTCTGTCAGTTGCCTGTGGGAGAAGGGGGCGGAGTTTTGGCATGGAGTGGCCAATAGTGGGGGTGGCTGCATGGGTCGCCATGGGGACGGGGCTATTCCTGAGGAGGCTGTGATGAGTTGACAGGTGCGTGACAGTGGGAGCTGCTCTCGGCACAAGCATGTAGGGCAAAGGCAAGAGTAACAGCAGCGCCATCCCGTCTGACATCCAGGCCCAGGAGAATTCTAACTAATGCATTGAAGATTGACTATATTATATTGTTTAACTAATTCAGAAAGAACTGAAGGAGGTGACAGTATGAAATGAGAACCGAAATATAATTTGAAATGAGTAACTCCATTATTAATATTTTTATATAATGGGGTACAAGAAATGTTTCATTGAAAAAAAATGCTACTCCTTTCAATAAAACTTTAAAAACAAGAAAAGAAAATTTAAAAATAAATAAATGAATAAATGTTATAATAGTAAAAATAAATAAATGAAATCTCTAGCTGGATTGGCTCAGTGGATAGAGCATTTCCCTGAGGACTGAATGGTCCCAGGTTCAATTCCAATCAAGGGCACATGCTCAGGTTGCAGGTTTAATCCTTGGGGGGGCAAGCAGGAGGCAGCCAATCAATGATTTTCTCTTATCATTGATGTTTCTCTCTCTCTCTTTCTCTCTCTCACTACCTGTATGAATTTAATAAAAATATATTTAAAAGTAATAATAAATTTAAGATTTCCAAATTGAGTACATTTAAATTTTAGAGGCACATTATAAATCTCTACATTTTAGAAATGATTCCATGAAAATATAATCCCACCCTACATTTTAAACAACTCAAAGGACTATTTACACTAAAGACTATGTGAATTCCTAGTTTTTCAAGATTTCCTTTCCAAGTTGTTTTCAACCTTCATGTGCAGAAACACACTAATCTGCCAATGTAACTAACTTTAATACTGAAGGTTTCCCAAATGCATACTACTCTTAACCTCTACTCTATAGGTAACCTCAATTTTATTATGAAAATAGTTCCACATTAGGTTTGTTTATATTAATTCTCTCTCTTCTCATCACACTGTTCTGAAATTCCAAAGTTTTCATTAAATATACATTATCAAAGTGACAACTTTTATATCTTACCAGTACTTTTTCAGAGAATAAATCTTGTATTCCGGACTTTGGAATAAAGGCCTGGTCATCTTCAGATGACATAGCTGAAAGAAAACAAAATTTTCAGTTTTGACAACCAGGTGAATGCACTTTGAAGTTACCACCAATATAGGCCAAGTGACATTTTTGAGTACTCCAAGAGCCAGTGAAGGATTCAATGAAAGCTCAAGATAAGTACAATGAGGAAAACTCACATCAAGGAGGGACAAAGAGTTGCTTACATTTGCCAATGATACCTGCTCAAACCCTCTGGCACACAATGGCAACATTATAAAAACACTCCCAATTCCCAGTTTTTTCGATGGAGAGAGATGAGGGAGGTACATGGTCAATGGTCTACCTGTTTTGAAGCATCTTGAACAACAAGTGTCTGTTGTGCATGACAGAGTGTGAACAGAATGGCAATACACAGTAAGTGACCTGTAGAGGCTGCTACAAAGAAACAATGAGAAATTGTTCGAGCACCACAAAGACTGAGGTACTAAAGATGTATATCAACTCTGAGAAGAAAACAGAGAACATTACCAACTGGGAAATTAAACAGACAACTGAAGCAAGAATAGAGATACAGTGGGGCCTTGACTTACGAGTTTAATTCGTTCCATGACGGAGCTTGTAACTCAAATTACTCATATGTCAAATCACTAAAGTGAAGGAGACACGTGATGCTGGGCTAATGTTTTGGTGTTCACTGTGACGTTTGCTGTGCCAACTAGCGGTGGGGTATCTGAAGCTGGCTTGTAACCCGAATTTTAGCTCACGACTCAAAGCAAAAAATCGGCCGAGAGAGACGGCTCGTATCTCGAAAAACTCCTTAGGACACTCGCAAGTCAAGGTCCCACTGTACTGAAAAGAGTGTTGACCGAAAGCAGAATTTGTCCAACAGATGGTTATTATTTATTTCTTCTTAGAAAAAGCATGTTCAAAAGCCTGCTACTTTACAGTTCAGGAATCTCAACAAAAGATATCATGTCATGAAAAAAAAAAGTGTACCATCAGGAAAACAAAATAAATATATTCAAACTGGCACTACATTAATAAAAATATATTAATTACCTCAAAAAGAATGGGAAATATCTTAATATTTATTTATTTATCTTAATGCCGGAAAGAAGAAAAAAAAGACAACTATTTAATACCACCAAAATATTATATCAAAATAAAAATACAATGAGAAAATATTTTACAAACATTACACCGAAAGGAGAAATTGAAATACACAATACCTAAATTAAAAAATACAGTAGATGCCCTAACCAGTTTGGCTCAGTATATAGAGCGTTGGCCTGCTGACTGAAGGGTCCCAGGTTCGATTCCGGTCAAGGGCATGTACCTGGGTTGCGGGCACATCCCTAGCAGGGAGTGTGCAGGAGGCAGCTGATCGATGTTTCTCTCTCATCGATGTTTCTAACTCTCTATCCCTTTCCCTTCCTCTCTGTAAAAAATCATTAAAATATATTTAAAAAAATAAAATAAATACAGTAGGATCATAAATGAAAGATGTGATCAACTCAAAACATCAAAGAATTTGCCTACAAGTGGTGGCTCAGTGGTAGAGTTTCAACCTATGAATTAGGAAGTCACAGTGTGGCTCCACTTCAGGGCACAGGCCTGGGTTAAAGGCTCAATCCCCGAATGTACAGGAGGCAGCCGATCGATGATTTTCTCCCTTCACTGATGTTTCTATTTCTCTCTCCTTCTCCTTTCCTCTCTGAAATCAATACAGATACATTTAAAATTTAGTAATGAAATAATAAAAAAATTTGTACATAAAGCATTAAAATTTTGATTCAGAGAAGTCTACAAATATGTGGAAATGTGAAGAGAATTTAAGGAACTCCTAAGACACTAACAAATCGACCATCAAGGCAACCCCATAGAGACAGAACAGTGAAAAGGAGTAGGTAGCTTATATAAAGTGACATATAAATGCAAGTAGCTCACTGACTTCTAAGTAGAATAAATATAAACATGAGAACAGAGAAAAAACAATGAAAATATCATGAGTCCCAGAATACTTTCTCAAAACATATAAAAAAATAATTCCTCATGGAAAAGACAGCTCCTTTAAGATCATTAAGGGGTTTCTAAGCAGAAAACTATTGGGAGGGAAAGGGCACGAATAAAACAAGGAACTGATAAATGAACAAAAACCATACAAAAAGAATATTGACAGAATAGATGATAAACAATAGCAAGGAAAAAACTTTTCCAGCTCCAAAACCTTTTTATTATTAGACTGGCCCTATAAACAATCCATAACAAATATATTTCTGGGGGTAATTTCAAAATTCTACACAACACTAACATATGAACAAATAAAGATGCCTTTTATGTGGAAAAATATACAGAAATGTAAAAATTTGTGGTGTTATATTAAAGAAACACATATCACTTTGATTTCTCTTGTGTAACTTCAGAAAATAAAAAGAAATTGTCTGACCTGAGTGTCTCAGTAGTTAAGCGTCTATCTGTGAATCAGGAGGTCACAGTTTGATCCCCAGTCAGGGCACATGCCTGTGTTTTGGGCTCATTCCCCAGGGTGGGGTGTGCAGGAGGTGGCCAATCAATGATTCTCTCTCATCATGGATATTTCTTTCTCTTTTCCCATCTCATTCTTCTCCACATGATATATAAAAAATGTATTTATAAAAAATAAATAAAATCTTAAATCTCTTCTATAAGACAAACAACATCAAAGATAATGTGAAGCCGAGGCCGGTTTGGCTCAGTGGATGGAGCGTCGGCCTGCGGACTGAAGGGTCCCAGGTTCGATTCCGGTCAAGGGCATGTGCCTGGGTTGTGGGCATATCCCCAGGGGGTGTGCAGGAGGCAGCTGATCGATGTTTCTCTCTCATCGATGTTTCTAACTCTCTATCTCTCTCCCTTCCTCTCTGTAAGAAATCAATAAAATATATTAAAAAAAAAAAAAAAAAGATAATGTGAAATCAACTTATGTGGGTACATGGGTAGAAATGGCAATCAGCAGGGATTTGTATGCAATTGACACCATGAGTTTAAGGTACATTGTTATAACCTTAAGATATTTTAAGTAGTTCCCATGCTCTCAACAAAAAATAGAAAATAAACAAAATCTCTGCTAATAGGTGACAGAATTCTGTATTGCAAATCACAAATTCCACATTTCTAAAAATATATACACACTAGTGGCCGAGTGCACGAAATTCATGCACTTGGGGGGGAGTTACCTCAGCCCAGCCTGCACCCTCTCTAATCAGGGACTCCTTGGGGGATGTCTGATCCATAAATGGCAGTCGGACATTCCTCTTGTAATCTGGGACCACTGGCATCTAACCGCTCACCTGCCTGCCTGCATGATCACCCCTAACTACCTCTGCCTGCCTGCCTGATCGCCCCTAACTGCCCTCCCCTGCCAGCCTGATCTTGCCCCCAATTACCCTCCCCTGCCAGCCTGATCTTGCCCCCAACTACCCTCCCATGCTGGCCTGATCTCCCCTAACTGCCTCTGCCTTGGTCTCCACCACCAGGGCTTTGTCCAGAAGGAAGTAGACGTCTGGAAGATGGATGGTCAACCTGGACTAATTAGCATATTACCCTTTTACTAGAATAGATACCTATACCCTGGCTGCTTTGGCTCAGTGCATAGAGTGTCTCCTGCAGACTGAAGGGTCCTGGGTTTGATTGCAGTCAAGGGCACATGCCTGGGTTGCGGGCTTGATCCCCAGTGGGGGGCGTGCAGGACGCAACCAACCAATGATTCTCTCTCGTCATTAATGTTTCTCTCTCTCTCTCCCTCTCCCTTCCCCTCTGAAATAAAAATATATTTTAAAAGAAGAATAGATATCTATAAATATCTATTCTAATAAAAGGGTAATATGCTAATTAGACCAGACATCTTCTGGATGTCCTTCTGGACAAAGCCACGGTGGCAGGGGCGGAGGCACAGGCGGTAAGGGTGAAAAGGCTGGCAGGGGAGAGCAGTTAAGGGCGATCAGGCCAGCAGGGGAGGGCAGTTAGGGGCGATCAGGTTGGCAGGGTGCAGTTAGGTGCATCAGGCTGGCAGGCAGAGTGGTTAGGGGATATCAGGCAAGCAGGCAGGCAAGCAGTAAAGAGCCAGCGGTCCCAGATTGTGAAAGGTACCCCGGACTGAAGAGGGTGCAAGGTGCAGACCGGGCTCAGGGACCACCCCCCCATGCACGAATTTCGTGCGCTGGGCCTCTAGTATATAATTAATTTCTCAAAACATGATATATAAAACCAATCAATGAAGTTAGCTGTGTCCCTGTAGAGGAACAGAATAACAAATTAAATATGCATTTACATGATTACCAGCATAATGGAAAATAAAATATTAACAGTTTACTTCTTAAGAAGGTGCATGACTTGTAGGCTGTAAAGTATAAAATACTAATGGCTGCTCTCTGCAGTATCAGTGATTAGAGCATGGGGCCACCCAGCAAATGGCTGCAGATCAATCTCAACCCCGTTTGGGACATGTGAGGAAGCCAAACAAACGATGTCTCCCTCTCACATTGATATTTTATTCTCTCTCTCTGTTTCTACCCCTTCCTCCCTTTCACGCTACCTAAAACTCAATGGGAAAAAACCCCATAGGGTGAGGATTAACAAAAAAAAACATATACACAGACATTGATGGCTGTAATCAAATGACAGAACAGTATGTTGGAAAACACATTCCATGACCCAACTTTGCAATGCTAACAATATCAGCTGTCATTAGTACCCAAAGTGACCTAAACATTCAAAGCAATCCCTATCAAAGTCCCAGTGACACTTTTGGTGGAAATAGAAAAGCTCTTTCTAAAATTAATATGAATGTCACAGGACTCCATGTAACCAAGTCAATCATGAAAAGAATGTATGAAATTAAAGGCTTTAGGCTTCTTGATTTTAAAACATACTTCAAAGCTTCTGTTATCAAAAACTATAATACAGCCTAGCCAGTTTGGCTCAGTGGATAGAGCGCCGACCTGTGACCTGAAAGGTCCCAGGTTTGATTCCTGTCAAGGGCACATGCCCGGGTTTTTGGCTTAATTACCAGTAGGGGACATGTAGAAGGCAGCATATCAATAATTCTCTCCCTTGGTTGATGTTTCTACCTCTTCCCTACTCTCTGATATCAATAATTAAAAAAAAAATTATAAGCCAAGAAATAAAAAACCTGCAATACAGACATTATGAGAAATAATAAAGCAAGGCAGAATAAAAGGCCTACATAGAAATTCTCCTGAATAGGGACTAAAGATCTTCAACACGGGTGCCTATACCACCAGATAAAAGGATATTCTGCCGAAACCGGTTTGGCTCAGTGGATAGAGCATTGGCCTGCGGACTGAAAGGTCCCGGGTTCGATTCCAGTCAAGGGCATGTACCTGGGTTGCGGGCACATCCCCAGTGGGAGATGTGCAGGAGGCAGCTGATCGATATTTCTCTTTCATCGATGTTTCCAATGAATGCATAAATAAGTGGGGAAATAAATGTATCTCTCTCTCTCTTCCGCCCCGCCCTCTCTCCCCACTGCTATCTTTCTCGAAAATCAATAAAATTAAGTATAAAGTAGTGCTGGCTGTAATTAAATAAGAACACATGCAATGACCTTAAATTGGAATGCTAACAGTATAAGCTGTCACGAGTACCCAAGGTTGACATAAACATTCAAAGCAAGCACTATCCATGTCCCAATGACACTTTTCACAAAATTAGCAAACCTCATCCTAAAATTGATATGAAATGACACAGGACACCAAGGAAGCAAAACATGGGAAAGACAGTATAAGCTTAAAGGCAATGTACTTTGTGATTTAAAAAATATTTCAAAACTGGTGTTATCCAAAAGTATCATCTCCACATTAAGACACGGGTAAATAAAGGAGCACGGTAGGCCCTGGCCAGTGAGGCTCAGGGTTAGAGCATCATCCTGTGCACTTAAGGATTGTGGGTTCAATTCCCCTTAAAGGGCACATACCTTAGTTGCAAATTCTCACCCCACCTGTGTTGAGGCGTGAGCAGCAGGGGGCAGTCAAAGTGTCTCTCTCACACTGATGTTACCCTCACTCTCCACCCTCCTTCCTCCCACCATTCCACTCTCTGAAAAGCAATGGAAAAAATGTGCTCATGTGAGGATTAAGAACTACAAAAAAGAAGCACTGTAGAATAAAATCCTACTTACAACTTCTCACGAATGAGGTAAAATAATCTTCTACAAGGGTGCCTATACCACAAAAAAAGTACAGCATATTTTCACATATACGAATAGTGTTGAGATACTTAGATGTGTACAGGTAAAACAATGAGTGAAGCCCTGACTGGTTTGGCTCAGTGGATAGAGCGTCGGCCTGCAGACTGAAGGGTCCCAGGTTCAATTCCAGTCAGGGGCATGCACCTTGGTTGTGGGCTCATCCTCAGTAGGGGGTGTGCAGGAGGCAGCTGATCGATGCTTCTCTCTCATTGACGTTTCTAACTCTCTATTTCTCTCCCTTCCTTTCTGTAAAAAGTCAATAAACATATATTTTTTTAAAATCCTTAAAAAAAAAATAAATAAAAAATATATTTTTATTGTTTCAGAGAGGAAGGGAGAGGGAGAGAAAGAAACATCAATGATGAGAAACACTGATAGGATATCTCCTGCACACCCCCAAATGGGGAGTGAGCCAGTAACCCTGGCATTGGCCCTTGACCAGAATCAAACCTGGGACCTTTCAGTCTGCAGACCAGTGCTCTCTCCACTCAGCCAAACCAGCTAGGGCCCAATTTGTTCCTTGAGAGCAAGCATCTAACACAGAAAGCAGAAGCCCCTTGGAGATGTTAAAATAATAAAGGAAACAAAGCGCTTCAGGTGGAGCAGGAACTCGGGAAGGAGTCATCCTCACCCAGGGAGGCCAGGTTGCTGTAGTTCTCCGACATCACCTCCAGGTACAATTTCTGCTGTAATGGGTCCAGGCATTCCCACTCCTCCTGAGAGAAATCTATGGCCACATCCCTGAAGGTCAACGGTTCCTGAAAGAAAAGACACATTACCAAGAGGTCACCAGAAAAGTTTATAATGACACCCAAGATGAAAACAGTGTCAGGAGAAGAGGTTTGGACCTAGGGGAGTATCCTGAATCATCAATAATATCACTTTTCCCTACTAACATTCTCTGATGCAGTTTCGAACACTGACAAATGAGGATGACACATGTCCACAAATCCACGGTACAGGTTTTACTTTACAGGAAAATAAACTTTAAAGTTAAAGGCATAGCCCTAGCCAGTTTCGCTCAGTGGATACAGTGTCCGACTATGCACTGAGGAGTCGAAGGTTCAATTCCGGCCAAGGGCACATGCCTGGGTTGGGGGCTTCTTCCCCAGTATGGGATGTGCTGAAGGGAGCTGACCAATGAGTCCCTCTCATCAATGATGTTTCTCTCTCTCTCTCTCTCTCCCTTATTCCAAAAAAATCAATACAAATATATTTTAAAAAGGTAAAAAAATAAAGGGATGGACACAGGCATATGGATTTCTGAGTACTGTGTTTGCATCGTTCAGGATCAGTAGTGTATATTTTTCAGCTGGAAATGGCACGCTGGCTTGGAAGTACATGAACTTCTTTCGCAAGTGTGAAGCAGACCACAACTAAATGAACTTTTGTAAAGACACAGATTCTGATCCAGGTTCTGAGATGGGGCCTGTGTTTCCACGTGTCACGAGCTCACTTTTTACTTGTGATGCCAATGTTTCCGCATCATGTGCCATACTTGTGAATACACAGAAAAAGAAAACACAAAAAAATTTCATATAGAACTTTGAACTAAAAGGATTAATGAAATTCAGTTCTAATGGAATAGGACACATAGGAACTACAATACTAGTTGGAAATTTACTCTGAGTAATCTTAGAACAAGAATATTCTGCCTGGTCCAGCTGGTGTTGCACAGTGGTTGAGTGCTGCCCCATGCACCAAGAGTTCACTGGTTTGATTCCCGGTCTGAGCACACAACCAGTTTGTGGGCTCAATTCCCAGTGTGGGGTGTACAGGAGGCAGCCAATCAATGATTCTCTCTCATCATTGATATTTCTATCTCTACCTCTCCATCTCTGAAATAAAAACATACTTAAGAAAAAAAGAAAAAATAGCTGAATAATGTTACCAATTTAGGCACAGAGACACACATTTTACAACTATGAAATCAAGATGGTTTAGTGATCCTGTAAATCTCTCATGAATCTATTTGTGTATGATCCCCTTTGTGTTTTATAAACACAGTAAGGAGAAAAACATAAGGATACAAAACAAGGTAGACCCATTGTTTCCTTTTTGTGGTTGTAAATCCTCATGTGGATTTAAATTGAGTTATTGAGTTTTCAAGAGTGGAAGGCAGGCCCTAACCCACGGGTGGGCAAACTTTTTGACTCGAGGGCCACAATGGGTTCTTAAACTGGACCGGAGGGCTGGAACAAAAGCATGGATGGAGTGTTTGTGTGAACTAATATAAATTCAAAGTAAACATCATTACATAAAAGGGTACGGTCTTTTTTTTTTAGTTTTATTCATTTCAAACGGGCCAGATCTGGCCCGCGGGCTGTAGTTTGCCCACAGCTGCCCTAACCGGTTTGGCTCAGTTGATAGAGCATCGGCCTGCAGACTCAAGAGTCCCAGGTTCAATTCCGGAACAGGGCATGTGCCTTGGTTGCGGGAACATCCCCAGTAGGGGGCGAGCAGGAGGCAGCTGATCGATGTTTCTCGCTCATCGATGTTTATAACTCTTTATCCCTCTCCCTTCCTCTCTGTAAAAGATCAATAAAAATATATTTTTTAAAAAAACAAAAAACAGTGGAAGGCAGGGAGGTTAGAGGGACAACAAGGACACAGAGAGAGAGATAGAAACATCAATGTGAAAGTGACAGAGAGACACATGGATTGGCTGCCTACCACAGGTTCCCAGCAACTACTTGCCCTGATCCAGCAATCGAACCCTCCACCACTGATCCACACCAGCCCAGGGGAACTAATGTTTCTTATCAGTACAATTCTTTCAAAATTTTTATGTATCATTAGTGGAGAGCTATTTCGCAAAATTTACTAGTAATGAAATTAAACATATGTTAATAATGTCATTCTTGGAAACTTCCTAGAAAATACAAAAAGTGACCATATAGGGTATATCCATGATGGGAGTATAGAATATAATGAAAATGTAAAGAATCAAGGCCTGATTGTTTACAGCTCCTATGAAAAAGACAATGATCTGTCGAAAATAAAAGTAAGTCCTTCATTTTCCAAAGCAAACGCAGAGAGACATTTCCAGATGTGAAGTGATGGTCTTTGCACAACTTTCATCCAATCCCTACTACACCCTTCTTCCTGAGAAATGGAGACTATTAACTCTACAGCGAGAGGAGTACCTCTGCCATGTGAACATCATGTGGACTGAACAATGGACATCAGGTGACTGAGGCACACGGAAGGTCACGTCACCACTGCTGTGACATTACTGCCAAAAATATATCCATAAAGAATTATTTGGAAATGATCACAAATAAACATTACATTTTGCAAGTGTCAATCCATGTGTACCTCTCATGTTCTGTAAGCTAATGGAATATTTACCTATCAAGTCTTTCATACTAATCTAGTGAGCAACTCTCTTCTATTTACTATTTACTCATCTTTCAGAACTTTCTGAGCTATTTTGAGCAGTAAAATGTGCATTTTCTCACCCCTGATCAAGAGCTGATGCTGTAGCCTCTTGAATCTAAAACTTACATTTCCCTTCTTCAAGACACAAGAGCCTCTGACCCCATCCCAATGGGATGTTAGGCATGGCTGCCTTCCCAGGTTGATTTGTCACAAAAGGGATGTTCTTAGTACTTGAAAGTCATTAATTAAAGGTGGGAATGGCCGAAACCGGTTTGGCTCAGTGGATGGAGCGTCGGCCTGCGGACTGAGGGGTCCCAGGTTCGATTCCGGTCAGGGGCATGTGCCTGGGTTGCGGGCATATCCCCAGTGGGAGATGTGCGGGAGGCAGCTGATCGATGTTTCTCTCTCATCGATGTTTCTAGCTCTCTGTCTCTCTCCCTTCCTCTCTGTAAAAATCAATAAAATATATTAAAAAAAAAAAAAAAAAGGTGGGAATGCTTCCTGACCTTGGAGAGGCTGCATAAAATGAATGCAAAGAGCCCTGGCCAGTTTGGCTCAGAGGATAGAGCGTTGGCCTGCAGACTGAAGGGTCCCAGGTTCGATTCCGATCAAGGACATATACTTGGGTTGCAGGCTCAATTCCCAGTGAGGGACTTGCAAGTGGCAGCCAATAAATGATTCTCTCTCATCATTGATGTTTCTATTTCTCTGTACTTTTCCTTTCCTCTTTGAAATCAATTAAAAAAATATATTAAAAAAAAATGAATGCAGAGAAGGCTCTGAAATAAAGGAGAGAAGTACAGCACAGCCAGGGTGGCTTTGAGGTAAAGCGTAGATCTATGAACCAGGAGGGCAGGTTTCCATTCCTGGTCAGGGCACACTTCAGGTTTCAGACTCGATCCCCAGTGGGCATTGTGCAAGAGTCAGCTGATCAATGATTCTCTCTGCTCATTGATGTTTCTACCTCTCTCTCCTTCTCCCTCCCATTCCTAAATCAATAAAAACATATATTAAAAAATAGACAGGGCCCTACCTGGTTTGGCTCAATGGATAGAGCGTCAGACTGCAGACTGAGGGGTCCCGGGTTTGATTCCAGTCAGGGGCACATACCTGCGTTTTGGACTCGATCCCCAGTTCGGGGTGTGCAGGAGACAGCCGACCGATGATTCTCTCTCATCATTGATATTTCTATCTCTCTCTCCCTCTCCCTTCCTCTCTAAAATCAATAAAATATACTTAAAAACAAAAAAAAAGAGAGAGGGAAATTAGAAACTACTGACACTGACTATAATTAGAAAAAAGGAAAGAAATAAGGAAAGAAAAACAACCTGGAAAGGCAAGAACATCAGAAGTAGAGAAATATGGAGGAGAGGAAGGAGCCCCAGAGACAAGAAGGGGAGTTGAGAGGGAGACGGGTCCTGGTGAACAGAAGTGAGGGCAACAAAGGGGGAGGCACTTCAGACAGAGAGACTGGTTCAAGGAGAAGAACTGAGGGAAGATAGCGGCATAAGTAAACACCGGAGTTAGCTGCCTCGAACAACCACTTCAAAAATACAACTAAAAGATGGAACGGACATCGCACAGAACCACAGGAAGACTGGCTGAGGGGAAATTCTTCAAGTAGAAGGAAAGAGAACAGCATACGCGACTCAGAGGAGGCGCAGTGCGGAAAATACAAAGGTGCGGAGGTACGCGAGGAGCGGGCTGGTAGCTGAGGGCTCGGTTGTCGTTTTCAATCGGGAGGGAGTCTCAGATTCTGAGCTCCAGTTCTGAGCGAGTCTCTAGGGACCCAGACTCAAACAGGAGAAGCGGGACTGTCTAGCATCGGTCGGAACACGAGGGCAGCTTTCTCTCCGAGGTTTGCAGCGGTTGCTGGGACTCTGAGAGGCAGAGTCTCTGGGGACGGGACTGAGAGCAGCCATAACTGCTCCCTCCACCCGCTCTGTTGATCCCGTGCGACCCGCCCTGCCCAAGCCCTGCGCAGAGCCATTTGCCAGATAGCCTCAGGCAAAGGCTAGATTAGCACCTCCCTAGAGGACAGAAGTTTTCCCACTGCCGACACAGCTGATTCTCACAGTCAGTTGGCCTGGAGGTCAAATCCCCCTAGTATTAACTACAACAATCAAGGCTTAACTACAACAAGACTGTGCACAAAGACCACTAGAGGGTGCACCAAGAAAGCATAAAAAATGCGGAGACAAAGAAACAGGACAAAACTGTCAATGGAGGATATTGAGTTCAGAACCACACTTTTAAGGTCTCTCAAGAACTGTCTAGAAGCCGCTGATAAACTTAATGAGATCCTCAAGAAATCTAATGAGACCCTCGATGTTATGATAAAGAACCAACTAGAAATTAAGCATACACAGATTGAAATAACGAATATTATACAGACTCCCGACAGCAGACCAGAGGAGCGCAAGAATCAAGGCAAAGATCTGAAATGCGAAGAAGCAAAAAACACCCAACCAGAAAAGCAAAATGAAAAAAGAATCCGAAAATACGAAGATAGTGTAAGGAGCCTCTGGGACAGCTTCAAGCGTACCAACATCAGAATTATAGGGGTGCCAGAAGATGAGAGAGAGCAAGATATTGAAAACCTATTTGAAGAAATAATGACAGAAAACTTCCCCTACCTGGTGAAAGAAATAGACTTACAAGTCCAGGAAGTGCAGAGAACCCCAAACAATAGGAATCCAAAGAGGACCACACCAAGACACATCATAATCAAAATGCCAAGAACAAAAGACAAAGAGAGAATCTTAAAAGCAGCAAGAGAAAGACAGTCAGTTACCTACAAGGGAGTACCCATACGACTGTCAGCTGATTTCTCAACAGAAACTTTGCAGGCCAGAAGGGAGAGGCAAGAAATATTCAAAGTGATGAATGCCAAGAACCTACAACCAAGATTACTTTATCCAGCAAAGCTATCATTCAGAATTAAAGGTCAGATAAAGAGCTTCACAGATAAGGAAAAGCTAAAGGAGTTCATCACCACCAAACCAGTATTGTATGAAATGCTGAAAGGTATCCTTTAAGAAGAGGAAGAAGAAGAAAAAGGTAAAGGTACTAATTATGAACAACAAATATGCATCTATCAACAAGTGAATCTAAGAATCAAGTGAATAAGTAATCTGATGAACAGAATGAACTGGTTATTATAATATAATCAGGGACATAGAAAGGGAATGGACTCACTATTCTTGGGGGGGAAAGGGGTGTGGGAGATGCGGGAAGAGACTGGACAAAAATTGTGAACCTATGGATGAGGACAGTGGGGGGGGTAAGGGCAGAGGGTGGGTTGGGAACTGGGTGGAGGGGAGCTATGGGGGGAAAAAAAGAGGAACAAATGTAATAATCTGAACAATAAAGATTTAATAAAAAAAAAAAAAAAAAAAGAACTGAGGGACTGAGTGCAGGGACAGAAAGAGGGTTTTGGGATGACGGTGCAGAGGGAGAAGCAGCACTGTGTCAGCCAGCTGTGGGTAACAAGACAGATTATAACAGGGGAAGGAGAGAGGACACAGGTGTGGGGAGGGAAAGAGAACTATATCAACAGATATTGGAGAAAAAGCAAACATAGCCTATGACATAGGACATATCTTTTACCTGAGAAGCAGCCATTTGGTCCTGATCGTGGTCCTGGTCCTGGTCCTGGTCTTGATCGGGGTCGGGATGTTTCCTCAGGTGACACTATGTTGAGGAGTCACAGAATGGGCTTTCAAAGGCGTCCCCACAGCCTGTTAATCAGCTCACCTCACACTCACAGTCAGAAGGACCTGGAAAGGGGGAAAAGGTCACCCCCTCCTGTCCTTTGTAACAGGAGAGAGTCAGGAACAGTGAACTCCTACATAGAGACCAAACCGTGAGATGTTTCATTCTATCTTCATGTGTTTGTCTTTCAAAAGATTTCCACAAACTCCTATAACAATGAGAGCATGTTCTGCTCTGCTGAACCCCAAACACAACAAAACACCTTTCGTTCCCTTGAAAAAGCATGCCCGGGGACCTATGATATAGCATCTTTAACTAGTTCCCTCCTGGGGCCTGCGCGGCTCCCCCACAGCTGTTTTCAGTAGCGCTGGGTACCAGATATCAGAACCAGCACACCTGAGACCTCTGGGTAGAGAGGGGAGGATTGAAGCAGGAACTTGTACACATGCAGGTTTGCCAGGCAGATTTCCTTCCTCTTGTCCTAGGGAATTACAGAGAATAGATCTTTATGCTAAAGGCTTTGGGGAAAGTTAGCTATTGAAATATGTTCATCAAATAGATGGGCTCTGTGGGAATCAAGTTCCAGTTCAATCCAGTCCATCCTTCAATAGTTTCAGAGAATGAACAAGGACTTAGGGCAATAGCTCCTTTGTGGCTCATAGACACTAAGTCCACAAATCACAAAAAGGGAAGGAAAGAGGAGCTAAACATTAGACCAATTCACAGAACAAGACTCTGACTGTTAAGATCATCGACATCCTTACTAAGTGAACACTGAGATCACCCCAAATTACTGATGAAGTATCAATGGAAGTTTCCACATATGATAAACAGTAGAAAGGATGCAGGGCTCAGAATCTGAACTACACACAATATACTTCAAACCAAAAACAATTAGGTTGTTTCTCTTTAATGTAATGACTTCTAGGTTTATAGCTTTAAAAAGGGAGAGTCTGCCTTATATTAACAAAAGAATGATAAGAGCTGCTTGTGAGATGTCACCAATGGTAATTTCAGAAGTTAACGACTATTTACATGAATTAAATATCAGAGATACAAAATGCAAATCCATGGGAGAGAAAAAAGATCCAGTGCTTCTAATATTCCTTCATAAAACATCAGACTCAGTCATCCCTACAATAAAAAAACATAAAGAAACCTCATGAATATTCACAGCAGTTTCTGTAACTGAGAATAATAAAGACAAGTTAAGCAAGTAATAAAAAAATACCTCAAATAATGTTAACATTTTATGTAGAGTCAGACACACCTATGAGAACTATCCTAATAATAGACAAGCATGGTAATTGACCGTGCCTTTGCTATGCCTCCCATGGGCTAATCAGCGTGATATGCAAATTAACTGCCAACAAAGATGGCGGCTGATTTGTATACTGCAGGCAGGGCGGGACAGTGCCATCCCACCTGCCCTGCCGCCATCCGGGCCTGCTATCTGCGACCCGGGGCGGCGGGCATCCCGTATGCTACCCAACCCAGGGCGACCAGGTGGTGCAGCAGCGATCAGCCAGCCTGCCCAGGCGTCCCGTGTGTGACCTGACCTGGGGAGGCCTGGTGGGGCAGCAGCGATCAGCCACCCTGCCCAGGCATCCCGTGTGCGACCCGACCCAGGGCGGGACATCGTGGCTCCTCTGTCACCCCAGCTTCCTCATCACAGCTCCCTTGGGGGCCTAAGCCTTTAGTCAGACATCCCCGAGGGCTCCCTGGCTGCCAGAAGGATGTCTGACTGGAAGCTTAGGACTGATCCCCTGGAGAGTGGGCCTAAGTCGACAGGTGGACATCCCCGAAAGGGTCCTGGAATGCGAATGGGCGCAGGCCGGGCTGAGGGAACCCCCCACAACGAGTGCACAAATTTTTGTGCACCAGGCCTCTAGTCTACAATAAAAGAGTAATATGCAAATCGACCCAAGGAACAAACAGCAGAACGAACATCTGGATGACCGTGCTATGAAACGCACGGGCGCTGGCCAGCCAAGGCAGGTGAGATGTGATTGCTTGGGGGCCCAGCTATCACCCCATGATCACCCTGCAGAGGGAGGCCCAGGCCACCTATTGGCAGGCTGTGGACCGTGGACGGGGCCTCCCTCTGCAGGGGCAGGGGCATCATGGAGCCCTGGTCAGGTGGCCAGGGTCTACCTCTTTAGGGCAATTGATCTTGGGGCTCCTGGACTGTAAGAGGGCATAGGCCAGGCTGAGAAACACCTCTCTCCCACCTCGGTGCAAGAATTTCATGCACTGGGACTCTAGAGTATACTATTAAAAGAGAGAAAACAGAACTGTCATGTCAATGAAATCAAGATTATTTTGTGATTGCATAAATTTCATGAATCTATTTGTGAACGATACCCTTTGAGTATCATCTACACTAATAAAAGACAAAGGTGCTAATTGACTGTACTTTTGCTATGCCCAAGCCATGTCCACCAGCCAATCAGAGCGACGACATGCAAATTAACCCAACCAAGATGGCGGCCAGCAGCCACGGAGCTGGAGCAAGCAGGAGGCTTGGTTGCCCCGGCAATAGCGGAAGCCAAGCTTCCTGCCTGCCCTGGCCGGCTGTGGTCTCCGAAAAAGGCAACAAAGTTTCAATTATAGAAGCTAAAGAAATCCCAGATACCTGCTTCCAGCCAGCCCCCACTGGGAGCTTGGGTGGCTGGGGGCTGTGGCCAACCTACAAACAGCCATCAGCCCCTCACATAGGCTGGCCAGGCACCCCAGGGGGGACCCCCACCCTGAATGGGCTGTGACCAACCTGCAAACAGCCATCAGCCCCTCACCCAGGCTGGCCAGGCACCCCAGCGGGGACCCCCACCCTGAAGGGGCTGTGGCCAGCCTGCAAACAGCCATCAGCCACTCACCCAGGTTGGCCAGGCACCCCAGGGGAACCCCCTCCCTGAAGGGGGTGTGGCCAGCCTGAAAATGGCCCTCAGGCCCTCACCCAGTCTGGCCAGGCACCCCAGTGGGGACCCCCACCCTGAATGGGCTGTGACCAACCTGCAAACAGCCCTCTGCCCCTCACCCAGGCTGGCCAGGCACCGCAACAGGACCCCCACCCTGATCCGGGACACCCTTCAGGGCAAACTAGCCTGCCCCCACCCATGCACCAGGCCTCTATCCTATATAATAAAAGGGCAATATGGAAATTGACCTTAACAGCAGAGCGACTGGGAATCACTGGTAGCTATGACACACTGACCACCAGGGGGCAGGCGCTCAATTCAGGAGCTGCCCCCCCTGGTGGTCAGTGTGCTCCCAAAAGGGGAGCTCTGCTCAGCCACAAGCCAGGCTGACAGCTGCCAGTACAGTGGTGGTACAGCAGCACTGAGAATGTCCGACTGTAGCTAGGACTGTTCCCCGATGGAAAGTGGACATCCCCCGAGAGCTCCCGGGCTGCCAGAGGGATGTCTGTCAGTTTAGGCCCAATCCCCCTGGGGAGCGGGCCTAAGCCAGCAGGTGGTCGTTCCCCGAGGGGTCCCAGACTGGGAGAGGGCACAGGCCGGGCTGAGGGACCCTCCCAAGTGCAGAAATTTGTGTACCAGGCCTCTAGCAAACACAATAAGGAAAGGAATTCACATAATGATGGAAAACAAATTAGACCTACAGTTTCTTAGACACTCATTTATTGGAAAATTTCTGTATATCATTAGTGGAGAACTATAATCATAGAAAATTAACTGAATTGAAGATATATTCATGATTCTTGTAAACGTTCCAGAATATTCAAAAAGTGATCATGTAAAGTATGTCCCTGACATGAGTATGGAATATAATGAATATTTACAGAAATAAGACCTGATTGGATAAAGCTCCTATGTCAAAAGCCAATGATCTGTAGGAAAGAAAAGTAGGATGTCTATTTTCCAAAGCAAATAGAAACTAAGTAGTAGGGCATTTCCAGATAACATGTGATGGCCTTTGCACAATGTCTCAACAAATCCCTACTAAACCCTTCTTACTGAGAAAGAGAGACTATCAACTCTACAGTGAGGGGAGCACCTCTGCCCCATGACCATCACATGGATTGAGACAATGGGTATCAGGTGACAGAGGCACAGCATAGGACAGGTCATCACTGCTGACATTCCTGGCAAAAATACATAAATAAATAGTGGAAACCGGTTTGGCTCAGTGGATAGAGTGTCGGCCTGCGGACAAAAAGGTTGCAGGTTCGATTCCGGTCAAGAGCATGTACCTTGGTTGCGGGCACATTCCCAGTGGGAGATGTGCAGGAGGCAGCTGATCGATGTTTCTCTCTCATCGATGTTTCTCACTCTCTATCCCTCTCCCTTCCTCTCTGTGAAAAATCAATGGAATATATATTTAAAAAAAAAAAAGAAATAGAGAAATAAATCACCAGATGTTAGAGGAAAAGCAAACATAGCCTGTGACCCAACACACCTTTTACCTGAGAAGCAGCCATTTGGTCCTGGACCTGATGGGGGTCTGGAATGTTTTCTTAGGTGACAATATGTTGAGGAGTCACAGAATGTGCCATTTAGAGAAGTCAGCACAGCCTGTTAATCAGCTCACCTCACACTCACAGGCAGAGGTCCTGGAAATGAGGAAAAGGTCACCCCCTCCTGTTCTTGGTCAGAGGAGAGAAAATCAGGAACACAGAGCTCCCTCATGGAGACCACACTGTGAATTTTCAAGTGTGTGTCTTCATGTGTCTTTCCTCCCAAAGACTTCCACGAACTTCTACAAAAATGAGAACATGAGCTGTCTTGACCCCCCAAACCAAACAGAGCACCCCCTTACCTCCCCTAAACAAAGCTTGCTCCCCACTCTCACAAAGGCGTCCTGCCAATCCCTGTCCTCACCTTCCATCACCTAGATTACCTCAGTAACCAATGATGCCCCACCCAGAGCAGCTGTCCAACACTATAGGGAAAAGCATACCTGAGGGCATTTCTATTTTTAAAAAATATATTTTATTGATTTTTTACAGAGAGAAAGGGAGAGGGATAGAGAGTTAGAAACATTGATGAGAGAATCATCAATCAGCTCCCTCTTGCACACCCCCCATTGGGGATGTGCCCCCAACCAAGATACATACCCTGGAGGAAAATTGAACCTGGGACCCTTCAGTCCGCAGGTGAAAGGCTCTATCCAGGGAGCCAAATGGGCTAGGGCCTGAGGGCACTCCTTAAAATGCTCCCGGAGGGATCTTAGAAAACCAAGAGGATTTATCTCAGGATATTTTTTAAATAATAAATTAAGTATTAAAGATAGAAAAAGTAAATCCATGAAAACAGACACACACACACCCAAAACCACAAAGGTAGGGCTTCTAATATTCCTTCAAAAAGCATCAGATGGTGACAGACACATGTTACTTCCTTGTTGCCATCCCAGGAAATGACAAGGGATTCATGAAAAACAGACAAGTCTCTCCTCTCTGAGTGAATGAGGTTTCCAATGTCTCTGTCTCAAGTGCCTCCTCCTGTGCGGCCCCCACTTCTGCTCCCCAGGACCCGCTCCCTCTCAGCCCCCCTTCCTCTCTCTGGGCTCCCCCTCCTCCCTGTGTCTCCACTTCCTTCCTCCTCAGGCCACTTTCCCCAGTGACCCCCTCACTCCTACCATCGCCGTCCAGTCCCCCTCACACCCCCTATGGGCCCCTCTCTGTGGAGCCCTCGCTGCCCTTCCTCCCGCCCACGTGTCTGTCTCTCACTCGCTCTCCTGACCCCCCAGCCTGGGCCCCCGCCCCCCGCAGTCACCGCGCCCACAAAGCCCCTCCCTGCGGGCAGGTCGCCTCTTCAGGGGACACCGCGTCCTTCCCCTGAGCGCCCCCCCCCCCCATGGACACTGTGCTCCCAGGGCAGGCAGACCCCTTATTAAATGGGGGTGGGCCTAGGAGGGGGGTGCAGACTCCCAGGCCGGGAGCCATCCGGGCTCTTTGGGCGGAAAGCGCCGGGCGGGGGGAGGGGCGCAAAGGGCGGGGACCCCCTCACCCAGACTCTCAGCCCCGCGGGGAGGACCGGCGGCCCGGGAACGGTTTTCAGCGGGAAAACCGCGCGGCAGGCGGTGGCCACAGCCACAGGCGGAGAGACCCCGGGCCGGGGCCTCCGTTTCCTCCCAAAGGAACGTGGCGCCCGCACCGCGCAGCCTCCCGGGACCGGACTCACCGCTGAGAGGGTCCGGGGCGGGGACCCCAACAAGGACTTCAGCGCCGGCAGCGCCCTCAGCCTTCCCTGCGGGGAGGGGGACGGGGAGCGTCAGCTTTAAAGACAAACACCCTCCTCAGCGGGAACCGCCACCTTCCCCTCCACAGCCGCTTCCGTCTGCAAGGAACTGCGCATGCGCCTCCCTGCGGGTGGGCGGGGCCAGAGCCTGAGCTGAGCGGCTCCGCGATGGGGGCGGGGCCGAGCCCGGCGGCCAGGCCTGTGCAGGGACAGAGGGAGGGAGGGCGGGGCAGGAGCGAGGGGGCAGCCCCGGGTCCCCGCACCTCCTCCCACAGGGACAGCCCTTCCTGGGGGAGTTTCCCACGTCATTGTCAGGGCTTTTCGCTGGGGACGCGGCTGCGAAAGGATTCCCACGGGAGAGAAGAGACAGGAGCAGAGAGAGGGCGTTTATTTTACTTCTTTAAAGGGAGGAAAGGGCCAGGTGCCCTCTGATGGCACAAGGCACCCCAGATAGAGGGGCTGTTCCTTTATTAGGGTGCTAGCGAGTAAATGGCAGCTGTGGCAAAAGCATCAAGAGGGAGGAGGAACCCTGAATTCACACAAAAGTTTCCCAGATCCCAGAGGCTGTGCTGAGAGCTACTGGCTGGTCTGCCCTTCAGCTGCAGGTGTCCCAGGGAGGGGTCTTTCCCAGGATCTTCACAAGCCGGGAGCACATTCTTACAGTGAAGTTACAGGGAATTCAAAAGGCGGGCAAATTGGGTTGGAAACCAGAACGTTCTGCCTCTGATTCGCCTGGATCCTTAAACCCTCAGTGAGGAGGGGGGAGGGGAAGGGCAGCCTCCCCCTCCTTGTCTCCCCAACTGAAGGGAGAAGCAGCTTGAGTTAGGGAAGCAGGAAGGTGGGGGGTCTCAGAGACAGACCCAGATATCCATTCATGGTTAGGCCCCTGATGAGATAAGATCCCATCCAACACTGTGGGGCAGGTATTTTCATCTGGTATTTTTCAAGGGATAAAAATTTTCTGTTTGTAAGTTGTAGTCTTTGAAGTTTTTGTGTTCTGGGAGTGCATTTTGAAATGAATATCTTTAGTAGTCTCTATAATCTAGATAATGGGCCATTTACCATAATGTACAATGTCTCTTGTTAGTATCCATTATATTTGGGATAGAAAATGATTTAAAAATCGACAATATTTAAAACAGTTATAAGAATAATTATTATCTCTTTAATCTCATAACCATTTTTTAAAAATATATTTTATTGATTTCTTACAGAGAGGAAGGGAGAGGGATAGAGAGTTAGAAACATCAATGAGAAACATCCATCAGCCGCCTCTTGCACATCCCCCACTGGGGATGTACCCGCAACTAAGGTACATGCCCTTGACCAGAATCGAACCTGGGACCCTTCAGTCCGCAGGCCAACGCTCTACCCACTGAGCCAAACCTGTTATGGCCAGAGGATTATGTTTAACCTATATAAGTATTTAATTACGTTACGCCAATAAAATATCAACACTCAGTATTGCCACCCAAAGCCAGAAAACACACTACATATAACTAACAGGCAAATACATAAAGGCCAACCCATTCTACAAAGACAGTGAAAGACTTCTACACTGAAATGATATAATGCTGAAGAAAGCAGATATCAATAAATTGAGACATTCCTTAATATTTTGTGCTCTACAGAATAAATAGATTTCCTATCAAATTTCCAAGGCAATGTTGGCTGTGGACAGCCAAAGAGATGTGGGACAGCCAAACACACTTCGAATATAGAAAAGTTGAAAGATTTACTTTTTTTTCCCTGAAATACATTTTACAAAGCAAGAGCAACCAAGTGGGTGTGGTCCTGGATTAACACAGATCCATACACCAATGAAACTGAGGGGAATGCCCCGACATAAACCCTGATGACGCCTCACCTGCATCCAACAGGAGCCTTCTCTGTGGGAGAGGATACAATCCACAGGGCAAATGCAACCTCCAGAAATGATGTGGTAAAACTAATCTAGGACTTTCTGACATTTGTTTATTTCCTCCTTAAAACTGATAATGGAATGAAACGTCCTGCCTCAGTTATGTCTGCTTGTTCACATCCTTCTACATTTCCAGTGGAGAAGTTGGGAAGTCAGTGACTCACATATTTAGCTTGAAATATATTATAAAAGCACTCAGAGAGATTTCAACGTGTGTTGGAAACTAACAGTTGAAAAGGGTTATGGCCCTGACCTGTTTGGCTCAGTGGATAGAGTGTCGTCAGCCTGCGGACTGAAGGGTCCCAGGTTTGATTCCGGTCAAGGGCATGTACCTTGATTGCAGGCACATCCCCTGTAGGGAGTATGCAGGAAGCACATCGATGTTTCTAACTCTCTATTCCTCTTCTTCTCCCTTCCTCTCTGTAAAAAAAATCAACTGTAGGAACTGGGATCTCAGTGAGGGGCTGTAGGTAGAGAGGGGCTTGAACCCAGGAACATGACTGCAATTGGAATTCATGTAAGCACTTTCATTAAACAAAAAATTGCAATGATGTGTTTGAGGATGAAGAACTAGCAGGTGAAACACACAACTCTCCCTGGCTAGATGGGCAATTTCATACTCACCAGCAGCCTTTCCTGCTCCCTTCCTCATTCCCCAAGGAGACCAAAACTCGACATAGAGACTACATTTATTTTTTGAATATTTTATTGATTTCAGAGAAGTAGGGAGAAACATCAATGATGAAAGAGAACCAATGTTCCACAGACTCCTGCATGCCCCCTGTTGGGACTGAAGGGGAAACCGAGGCATGTGCCCTGAGCAGGAATCTAACCCGACCTCCTGGTTCACAGGTCAGTGCTCATCCACTAAGTAACACAGGCTGGGCCACACGTTTATATTTCCAGAGGTCTGGTGCACTGGTGGGATCCATCCACCTGGCCTGCGGGGATCAGGCCGCGACCGGCTCTCCTACATCTCCCGTGCGGTCCCGAATTGTGAGAGGGTGCAGGCCAGATAGAGGGACCCCACCGGTGCACAATCAGGGCCTGGGAGAGATGGGGGAGAGCTAAAGGACTTGTCTGGCCCATCTTGCCCAGCTGGACCAAAGCACCAAGCTAATGGTGTCTGCCCCCTAATGGTCAGTGCACATCATAGCTAACAGTCAAATGGTCAAATGAATGGTTGGACACTTAGCATATAAAGGATTATAACCTATTTGACCATCCCCTGACTCCAGAATTCCCCATTTATTGTTTTGTTTTCTATTTCTGAATTTCTGAATGATCTGTTACGTATGGATAACAAACCTGCCAAATATATACACTGGAGGCACTAAGACATAGTTTTAGCTCAAGAATCATTAATTCTGGCCCCAGCCAGTGTCGCTCAGTGGATACAGCACTGGCTCATGGACTGAGTCCTGGCTATGATTCCGGTAAAAGGGACGTACCCACCTTGCAGGATGCATCCCTGGCCCTTACAGGAGGCTACCAATCTATGAGTCTCTCCCACAAAGTCGTTTCTCTCTGTCCCCCTTCCTTTCACTCTTTCTAAAAATCAATGGAAAAATAGACTCAGGTGAGGATTCACAACAAAAAGATTCATTACTTTTGTCCTGGCCAAGGAGTAACTTTGCTGGTTGGAGCATCATCACAATGTGCCAGGATTGCGGGTTTGAGCCCAGATAGGGGCACATCCAGGGGTCAAATATAAACAAAGGAATCATTAATTCTACAACATTTTGTGTGGTGGCACATTCTCTGTAATGTAAGCCTAAAAGGAAGTAAAACCATTGATCAAATACCCAATAATTACATCTCCCTTTATACCCACAATAATTTTTACCACAATATGTGTTAGTGAGCATCTAATGTGAAGTATGTTTCAATGAAAAAGATTCCATCTAGCCCTAGCTGATTTGGCTCACTGAAGAGAGCGTGGGACTGTGGACTTAAGGGTCCCAGGTTTGATTCCGGTCAAGGGCATGTACCTTGGTTGCAGGCACATCCCCAGTGGGGGGTGTGCAGGAGGCAGCTGATCGATGCTTCTCTCTCATCGATGTTTCTAACTCTCTATCCCTCTCCCTTCTTCTCTGTAAAAAATCAATTAAATATATTTATTTAAAAAAAAAGATTCCATCTATAGACAAACAGCAGGACATTCTCTGCATAGCGAGTAGACATGACTGGGAGTAAGCTGAGTCATGGGAGCTTGTTTTTTCTGTTGTTGTTGTTGTTGTCCAAAAGCAATGTATCTTCCAAACTTCCAATCTATCTCAGCATAAGAATTTATTTAAAATAATAAAACCTCCCCAGACTGTGTGGCTCAGTGGTTGAGGATAGGACTATGAACCAAAAGTTGGGGTTTCATTCCTGCTCAGGGCACATGCCCTGGTTGAGGGCTCCATCCCAGTGTGGGGTATACAGGAGGCAGGGGATCCATGATTCTCTCTCACCACTGATGTTTCCATCTCTCCTTCTCCATTCCTCTCTGCAATGAATAAAAAAATTTTTAATTAACACAAATAATAAAATCTTATTAAATTAGGATAAAAATACTTTAAATTTTTTCAAAACTCCTATTATTTGAGAAAACCCGGAGGCCCTGTATTGGAAATAAGCTTTTAGAAATGTCTGTGGAACATACAGATGTGATCAGGTTGATAAAAACTCCACCAGCACAATCTCCAGAACTTCCACAGGAAACAGAACAATGAATATTAGGTTGTTTATTTCAAGTTTAAAATTATTTTGGGTTTAAATCATGGCACTAAAAACTTGAAAGCTAGGTTTCCTGTGTCCTTTTATGTTCACATAAGGAAATTAACATCCTTACCACACGTCTCTATATGAGGCAGTAACGTGGAACTCAGCCACAGGCTTTGATGAGGTGATCACGTTGAGAAGGGGTGTCTATTCACACATGGAGTAGAACCTGCAAGTAGGCTCTGGACTATCAGCCAGGTTGGTCAATAAGGATTGCTCAGGGGCCCCATCTGGATGGATGCCCTGACGGCTCAATAAAGCCAGGAACAAAGAGTCTACATATGAAGTGATGTATTAATGTGCACAAATTCCCAGGAATCTATGGGAAAAAAACAACACTGATAGGAGAATCACTTTTGCCTGATTGTATGAATGCATCTGAGGTTAGAGAATCAATGTAACCTCAGGGTGTTTCGGACT